TCACGTGATAACTACTTATTAACTCGTTATCTCAATATAACAAAGATTGTTTTCTCGTGATAACAAATTAATTATTTCGTTATCTCAATAAAACAAAGATCAAAGAGTTATCTCGATATAACAAAAAGACCTTTGTTTTCGTGGGATAATTTTCAAGTCTGATGATTGCGCTCTGGTTAATGTAACTGTCTGGTCCAGGTGTGTCCCAGGGAGGTGGAAATGGCATATCACATTATTGATCAAGCATCAGGATGTACTTCAATCAAGGTCTAACAAAGGCAGAAATTGTACCTTTCTGATAGAGATGGCATTCAGATTAGTCCTCGTCATTTAAGGAGAAGACTAGCCTGGTTATAACTTCACAGGCGATGGTTAAGTGATCCTGCTGAGATTGTTAACCTCATTAGCAACCAGAGAAGAGGACCGGGTCATCTTCATGGTTAACGAATGATGCATGAGAGGTGCAGATTGGCTGGACTGCGCGTTACTTGAGACATGGTTCAGGAGGTTCAGTCACATCTTGACCCAGAGGGCGTACAGCAACGGAGAGGAATAAGACTTCAGAGAAGATTTTATAGTGTCCCAGGGCCCAATTATTTGTAGCATATGGACTCCTATGACAAGCTGACCCCTTTCGGCAGTGGAATAAACGGATGCATTGATGGGTTTTTCGCGTCATATAATCTGGATTCAAGCAAACTCTTCCAATAGTAACCCCAAAGTCATCGCAGCATACTTCATCAATGCAGTCGCAGAACTTGGGGGGCGTCCAAAGATAATCCAATCGGATTTGGGAACTGAAAATGTCCATGTCAACGGGCTGCAACACTTCTTCCGAGAAGATGAGACTGGTGTTGTGCTTGGGCCGTGTGTGTTCCAAGGACGCAGTACAGCAAATCAATGGATCGAGAGCTGGTGGGGGATTTACAGGGGACAGAACGCAAGCTATTGGAGGGATGTCTTCTAGGAGTTCCAGGCAGCTGGAGACTTTAATGGGGATTTCATAGACAAGGGTCTCATCCAATTCTGCTTTCTTAAGATTATCCAATTAAGTCCTCCACTGTCCATATCTTCAATATAGTACATCTCAGGGCTGTATTTCATGTTGTGTCAATTTACTGCCTGCTCCACTTGTCTGTATACCTGTCTGTAGGCTCCACCTGTCAATGAGAGAAACATCAAATAAGACTTGCAATTTATTGTGTTTCACTGGCAAGGAGCTGTCATTATGTGCAAATTACGCACGGCTGCGCGTTCTTCATAGCGTCCATCCTCACTTGAACCTCGTCGCTCCAACTTTACAAGCTGTGTCACAACTAAGGATAAATCAATCAAATCAAAATGTTGATGAATCACACGATTCATCAGATTATGTTTATAAATGTGCCTTTGATTGACAGTTTACAGATAATCTATCCTATTAAAGGAGTGTCAATCCTGATATCCTGGATTGCACTTGTTATTATAGATCACACTTAAAATGCAACATAATTTTATATAAGGGGGTCCCTGCTCTGTTTCTCTATCAACCAAGGGGTTGAAGACCCCTGACATAAACATTATGCTTTCATTATTATTATTTTTACATAGAACTAAACTATGTTAACATAGAGTTTTTAAATGATGAATCTGAAGTGGAGCTCACAGGTAAAAGTACAAGGTCTCACCAGTAGATGGCTCTTCAAAATGTAAGAAAAGATATACATAAGTGGAAAATGTGGAAAAAATAAATAAAGAGATACAAAACATTAATGATGAATCAATGTACAAGCAACACAATCTCTAGAGCAACACAGGCATCATACCACAAATATAAGGAAAACTATTAAAAAGGACTGAAATCAGTTTCCTCATTGGATATACTGTAGTTTGCAATCATAATTTGATTTGATCACCATGAATATTCTTCTGGATTGTTTCTAGGTCTTGGTTTCCTCTTGGTTATGAATTGTTGTGTCCCTCACCAAAGAGCACCCTCATCACATGTGTCTAAACTTCTGAGCTCTCTGGGCTGTTTTTCTCTCTGTTGCCACATATTTACTCACTCCAAGCTTATTTTGCATCAATATGTAGGCTTTTTTGTCCTGGGGTCAATACCCTTGTCTTCATTATGTAGGCTACTATGGCTGAGTGCAGGAAGCTGGAGCACAGTATTATTCTGCTGATAACTCTGCCATAGCATTAAACAATACTGCATTTCCCCATTATGGTGCTATAATGATATATAATAAATATATAAAGTGTTAGGTGGCTAAGGTGGCTTCTTCCATGTACTCATTTTCAAAAGAAGTCATCATACATATTGAAATCCTCATGTTTTTATGTTGCAGAAAGAGCTCGACGCCGTCATGACAATGTGGGACAACCATCCAACCTGTGTTGAAATGTTTTAATAAAGTTGATAATTACCCAAATAATGTTGGGTCCTGGGACCAGCAAGAGCACAGCAAGGGTTTTCCAGTCATGGAATTCTGGACAAAATCATATATAGTTTTAATAAAAATATTCTCCGATTTTGGTCCAAGAGACAAATTTATAAAATAGGGGGTCTGTGCTATGAAAATGTTGAAAATCACTGTAACGTAGGGCTGTCCTTGACTAAAGAAATTCTTAGCCATTTCATCGACAAATCTGTAAAGTTTGAGTTTTCAACATGCAATAATTCAAAAGGACCTCCTTAAATATCATGCTTATCAGAGATGTCCTTGTAATCTTCCAGGAAATTACTAATTCAGCATGGTAATAAAGCATTAGAACTGACTAATCGACTAACAAAATCTTAGTCGACACATTAACACAGTAAAAAAAGAGAGTGAAAATTACAAACAGTTGAAACCTTTTAATTCATGAAACATTTTCATTGCGAACATTGCAAACTCATTTCTCAAAATTGGCATATAAATGAAATGCTTATAGGCCAACATACGAGGTGCGTCAGAAAAGAAACAGGACTGGGGTCACCCAAAAATTTATTTCAAATATAAACTACAAACTACAAGTTTTCCCCTACAAAATAATCCCCCTCGAATCTAGATGGAGCAGCAGAGAATCCCCGGAGAATCCATCCAGGAGTGCATGGAGGTGGAGAAGGATGGGAATGTGTATATATCATACTTCTGAATTATAAACAAACAATACAGCAATATTCTGTATAATCTTTTTTTCTGAATCAAAGGAAGAGAATGATGGGCCTGGAGGAATGATGGTGTTGGCCGCATACAGGGCACTGGTCACTAGCTTATTTGTATAACTTTAGATAGAGGTAAGACTGCTGAAACCTGTTCTAAGTCAAACATTAAGTTGTAGAAAAATGTATATATAGCACTTTGAATTTGACACTGACAACATAGAACAGTACTGGCAATATAAACTCTTCCAGGTTTGAAGATCTGCCTAGCATTACAAACACTGTAATTTACGAACACTGTTTAGGTTTAACAACAATGGAAAAACATTCAACCACAAACAGTTGGCCAGTTTTTACATACAACTTTTCCAAGAATACAGTGTCACATTTTTTTTTTGTAAATAAATTGTCTTTATTGAAATATTAACTCAAGTGTGACTTTTTTTCCACAGTGCCTTCAGCTGTCATATTTGAATTTTAAAGAGATCATAAATTGAAAAGAAAAATCTATCTCCTTCTACTACAACGATGCATCTTCCCTCCACATGTAAACTTGTAGATTATATAAAAGATGACGCTGCTAAACTTCTGAGTGTGTGTGTGTGCGTGGGTGTTTGGCGTGTGCAGTTTTAATTTGCTGTCTAGGCATACAAAGCCTGTTTAGGCCAAATCCATTACCCACACTCCACTCTTCAACACAGAGATGAATTCTGTTCTAAAATCTGCCTAGTCTTTGTAGTAAGATGCCAGTTCCAAAGAACAACCACAGGTGCGAGCCAAGGGCGCCCTTGGGAACTGTGGCTGTTCTGCTGTGAATGTGACTTCAGATCTGCTAGACATAGCAATGTTTCTCCAGAATCAGTTGGACAGATATGGCATGCTCCATGGATACCGTAATTTACTGTCATTGACCCGGTACGGTAGATAGTTGAAGATGGGGCATGTATGTGCGGGCAGAAGTCAACATCCATGGGAGTCACTTGCAGGTTGGAGGTTCTCGCGGGAAGTATCTCGATAATTCAGAAAAGAAATGAATCCGAAAAACAGGGAGAAAAAAATTAGTCCGAAAAACAGAAAAAAAATACTCAGAAAAACAGAAAAAAATTACTCAGTAGAACAGGAAAAGAATTACTCAGAAAAACTGAAAAACTGAAAAAAAATTATACAAAAAAAACAAACCAAAACATTTTCGAGTGAATGCAATATGCTTCCGTATAGAATAACAAATATAATTGAGAGATTTTTTTTTAACTCAATAGAATAGACAATATTAATATAAGACAGTGGTCGCCAACCCGTCGATCGCGATCTACCGGTCGATCTGGACAGTCTTCACCATCGATCTCTATAACTCTCTGGACTCATAGTCTGCGCTCGCGAGGCAGATCAGCTGTGGGTCGGTTGTTCACACCCGCTGTGTGTCCGCTACTGGCGGCGAAGCAGCAGGTTTATCTCCTGCATTTCCTTCAATTATAAGTCGGATTATGCACTGAACTAAATGTCAGGACTCTACGGTATGAAGTCCTGCATCTTCTGGTCTGTTGACAACAATCAAACCTGGGTTTGAATGTTTATCTGTTGAATTTATGTCACAAACACAAAACAAAAGCACTGCAGCGTACTGTTGACCAAATCCATTCTTTTTTATTTTTTTTATTTTTATTGTGAAATATTTGCAGGAGCTGAAGATACATGAATTCAAACTGAAATAATAAATATGGCCCTCCTAAGTCTTTTTTTGCAAGATATTGGGGTGGTAGATCTCGGCTTACGTTTTGAATTAAAAAGTGATCTTGTGCTTTAAGAGGTTGGAGACCACTGATATAAGACATCTTGATCCACACTCCATACCAGGTGATGGCGGTAGTGCAGCAAATCGTTGTTTGCCAACTGCCAATAAAACCTCAGAGAGGAAGAAGAAGAAGACGTCCCTTATCCGGTCAGACACACAAGGTCGTCACAGCAGCAATAGCTAATTGCTACAATGATGTCCTTAGCTACCCGATCAGGGCCCTTTTCTCCTTATATGCAGGCCACTGCTTTTGCTGTCGCTGGCCCCTTAAAAGCTCTGGTTCCTGGGATTGTTTTGAAGGGAGAGAAGATCTTGTTGAACCCGAAAGTAAAGTTCCTGTGCCGCGAGTCGCTGAACGGCCAAAGCCCAAAGACGGGCCCTGCGGTGATGGTTAGCATCAACGGTAAGTGTGTCGTTGGTAGCCAACTTTAATTTTCACCGAGGAGGCTAAATCACCTCTGCTGTCGGCGGTCAATCCAGCCGTCGTTTTTTATCTCCATAGTCAAACCAGCCGTCCCTAAATTTAGGCTGCTCTTAGACAGAATTCAAACCTTTTTGGTACTAGTTGAAGCGGCTCAGAGCAAATGTTAAGAGCGACTTTATCAGTCATTTTTCTCACCCTCTAAAGACGTGTTGCAGTATCAGATTGAAATAAATTTAGATATATTCTCACGAAGTGAAAAATAATGCCAGTATCTCATAAATTAAACACTCAGAATAGTTTATCAGATTGGAGAAATTTTAATGTAGAAGTTCCACAGCTGTAGCTTGAAGAAAATGTAAGGTCTGATAGTATCTACTCTGATAACACCCTTTCTTCCATAAGTAGATTATATTTTTTGAATTACATATATATTAAAATATTTGAATAAATTGTATGTAGTACTTTTACTGTTAAAACGTGAAAGTTAATATCGCTGTGATAATATGCTGCTGTGAGATGTCAAATTAGCTTTGATTTGCTCCAACATGATTTTTCTTAAATTGCATCCCGTTGTGATGTTATGCCGCCATTTAAAATTCACAAACTACATTTTGCAGCTAACAGTCTTCTTTGAAGGCTGTAGTGTAAGAGGTTCCCACACTTGTAACGACTTTGGTCGTACACATTTTTTAAATGACATAATCGTTCTTAGAGGATCCCACACAGCTGGTGCACAGATTCTTAGTGTCTTTTGGGAGAGCAAGGGTTTTCAGAGAGCAGCAAAATCTGTTCTTAACCTGGATAATGCGTTTGTTCTATATTTTTTTTGTATAAGTCTGCTCGATCGGTAATATGCAGTAAACACCGCCCCTTTTATGGGAACATGCTCATGTCTAGAGTAGGAAAACATGGGTTGACTTACCAAGTTGATAACCAGCATCTTGTGACTGCTTAGCCTGACTGCGTTTGTTAGGTTAAGTTCAGCCAGATAACGGAAAGATATTCTGGGTTTGTTCAACTGGCTTCAAAATACAGGCCTTAGGAGATGTTGCCAAAGTGTGCATCATAACAAACACAACCATTCACTGAAATTCATTTGCAAACAAATTTTCCAGTAAATACAAAAATGTGTGTACATTCAAGGTGAATTTCAGGATTTTGGGACATATTTAGAATAGACCTACATTGTTAACTCTAACTGATAACCCATTTTGTTTTTATCTGAAGGCTGTGCAGGAGTCAGGTTTGCCCACACAGATGTAAGGATACCTGACTTCTCAGACTACAGGCGTTCAGAGGTGCTCGACCCCAACAGGTCATCCCAGGAGAGTGGTGAATCAAGGAGAGTTTTCTCCTACCTGGTCACTGGGGCCTCAACAGTGGTGGGTGTCTATGCCGCCAAGACGGTGGTGTCTCAGTTTGTTTCTTCCATGAGTGCCTCTGCTGATGTCCTGGCCTTATCCAAGATCGAAATCAAATTGAGTGACATCCCAGAAGGCAAGAACATGACCTTCAAGTGGAGAGGCAAGCCGCTTTTTGTCCGTCACCGCACAGAGAAGGAGGTTGCCACAGAAGCTGCTGTGAACATCGCTGAGCTGCGAGACCCTCAGTACGACAAGGACCGTGTCATCAACCCCAGCTGGGTTATCGTCCTTGGGGTGTGCACACATCTGGGCTGCGTGCCAATTGCCAATGCTGGGGACTATGGAGGTTACTACTGCCCCTGTCATGGCTCGCACTACGATGCTTCAGGCCGAATAAGAAAGGGTCCCGCACCCCTCAACTTGGAGGTCCCCTACTATGAGTTCCCAGATGATGACACGGTGGTTGTGGGATAGATGGCTGTGTCAGACTGAGATCACTTAGTACAACAGCTTTTGCTCTGGCTGCAAAACATCTAATATTTATGTGATAAAGCAAATGTTGAGGTGTATTTGTACTCTGTTTGTCTTACTGCTTCTTAGAGGATTACACTGATGACCCAAAACATAATGACCGACATGGGCTCTCTTACTAGGCTGCAGTTTGTTGTGAATTTTTTCTCCCATAACTAACAGTTTGTGAACGGGAGCACTCTACCTGTCTCATTGCTTCTGAGATTTTCCAACCTACTCATTTGCCTTTCTCTACTGCATCCAGCAAATAGACTGTGAGAACTGTTAATCTGACATTCATCATTTTCCAGATGTTGACTCTTGGCAATTTACAAGATAATCTATGTCACCTGTTAACAGTCTTAATGTTGTGGCTCATCAGTGTATAACTATGTCCCAATCTTTCCAAACATAACAAAGTCTACCAGTGTTGACAGTCCTGATGTATTTAATGTCTTGCAACATCTTCAGGTAATGAAAGGAGCAGTAGCTCACCCCTTAGCCTCGGTTTTTTAATCCATTAATACCAACTGTCGATAATGGCGTCAGAGTAAAGTATGTAATTACTACAAGTAATTCCAGGCAGATACTATCCCCTGCTATCCCGAACATGACAAATGTTAAAAAGAACTGTATATTATAATAAAAAGGAAATAGCCCATCAAAGTAGCAAGGAACAAATATTGAATTCAGGTGTTATGGCAATAAATATTTATGTTTTATTTGACAGCCTGCTCTGTGTTGAGACTTTCTTTTATTTAAAAGTATATAGTTTTAATTGGTGATATATGAGTGCAGTGTATATACAGCAGCTGTATTTCTGGTGGTGCAAAAGCTTTCAGAGTAAAAAGTCTGTTCCAGACAGGTTAAGTATCAGTGTTTGTGAGCTTTAACTTTCACAATGTCTGCTGGATGCTGCACACAGTGTGGGATCTTAGAAGTGGAGATGAGAATGATCCCACAATCTTTCTCACGTGCAGTGCACTAACATACGTAGCTGCATGGGTAAATTAAGGTAGACACTTCCTCTAGACCTGTACAATGAAAGGTTTGAGGAACAAATGGGGGGAAAGTATCAGCCATTGCATTTGTGTTGCTTTTAAGCTAAATGGTTTGCATAGCCTGTCGGACTTCAGTGTTTCTTTAGTGTCACTTTGTTAAAATTAAAACTGTAGAAGCCTGAGAGGTTCCACAACTGAATAGGAATTCCCCCCGACCACAATCTTGGAAGAGCAATCAATACAGACTGCATATTAAAGCAGGGAGAAAACTGTTACAGGTTGTTAAGTTACTGTTTCCAAAGCACAATGGCTGCAATTTATGATTGTATTTTACCCTCCTATTATCTCCTACTTAATCTTATCCTCGAATTTATCTTTTGGGTCATTTTGTCGCAAACGAAGTGTATGTTTCAGATACTTTCTTTCTTGACCACTCAAATTGCCACTTATGTAAAACATAAACTCCCCTAAATGCTGAAACGTTTAATGGAAACAAAAATCATCAACCCACAGCAACTCATAATCTGACTCTGTAGTATTAATGGCCCCCGCATGCCTGTACTCGACAATGTCTGGGCACCCAATGAGTCGCCATATGGTGACCTGGGGGATCTCCCTCAGACCTGGATCAGGGCATCAGTGAAGCTCCTGGACAGTCAGTGGCAGCTGATAAATAACATCCCATAGGTACTCAATTGGATTTAGATCATGGGCACATGTTGGCCACTCTATGCAATGTGCAATGCCTTTATCATCCAGGAACTGCCTACACGCTCTAGTCACATGAGGTTGGGCATTGGTCTGCACCAGGAGGAACCTGGGGCCCACTGCACCAGCTTTTAAAATCTGACTTTTTAAAGTCACTCACAGGATTTCATCCCTGTACCTAACTGCAGTGAGCGTACTGTTGGCTATGACATGGAGGTCTGTGCGATCCCCTTGGGAACCAGAGGGTGGCAGGTTCAAGTCCAGCATGGACGGAAGTTGGAGAGGTGCCAATTCACCTCCTGGGCACTGCCGAGGTGCCCTTGAGCAAGGCACCGAACCCCCCAATTGCTCCCCGGGCACCTTCATGGCTGCCCACTGTTCCCGTGACTGTGACTGTGTTCCGTGTGTGCTGTGTTCACACGGATGGGTTAAATACAGAGGTCAAATTTCCCCATGTTTGCATGTTGCATGCTGTGTGTGGGACAATAAAAAGGAATCTTGAAGAGAGGTCTTTTTTGGGTTTAGAGGATTTATATTATTTATAAATGCTTTTTGAAAAACTTCTATTATCAAGGAAAGTAAAATATATTATTTTTTGGTCAATTTGACCTCAGGAAAACCAAACAATTCAAACATTTAGAAAGATCTTATTTTTAAAATAAAATAGCATCATCAGAACAACTGTGAGGAACACAACAGTCCTTTATTTACTAAAAATACATCTATACAATGTAAATTTGAGTATTGGTAAGGGAGTTTGTCACACTCCCATCAGCCTTGCCTAGCTTCTCTGTCATCAAAGCGTCTGACATGACTGAAAAATGGGATTTCTTTAGATACATGGTGGCTGAAAACATTGCCCTTCTAGTATTCAAAATGAGCACCATGTTTTTCAGCCATGTGCCTCCCCTCTAAATTTGTCATCTGAATTATATCACTCTCAAATGTTATGAAAAGCCATGTCTTGGACATGGCTGACAGCATATATTTTGGGTCCTGGAACAGTTTTAATTATATTAGCAGCACTAAGTCTACTCTGTTGTTGGAGAATGGGAGTGTCATAGCCTTTCTACTTTGGAAGGAAACATGTCTGCTTTTGGTTGAGAGATAACATGTGGATCAGCACTACGGTTCTTATTCTCATCAGAGGAGGATGCCACATAATCAGGGCCCTCATCAACATTATCCTTTACATCTCTTTGACTGTGACAAAACCTCACTGGCAGAAAACCTTTTCTCAGATCTTGTGTTAGTTGAGTGAGCATGTAGAGAAAGCACACAACTCCCAAAGAAATGGTTTAAAGCCTCCCCATGTCAGGTGAACCATCAGTAGTGTGCGTACTACTACAGATATGGTAAGAAAAGTCAGGGTGCCAAAGCAGAGAGACAGTTTTTAATATCTATAATGTTGCATGTTAGCGTTACCTCAATATCAGCCTAAACATCAAAAACAAATGTGTGTATAATATGGATAGTTCAAACATGTTCTATTCACCTAAAACAGCCTTGGGTCAATTTACTCCAAAGAGCACTGATGTGTACACTATGCATACAGGACATTGAAAATACATCATCATGTAAATGTTATCTTTACCCAGCTGTCCCCATTAAACTAAGGCTAAAAAAATTATGTTAACTGTTCATTTTGAGTACTGCGTGGTCATCTGATGACCAATTTGTTTTATTCGTTATTTAGTGTACTGATTGAACAACACCTACAATCATGGGGTTACATAACATTACATTACATATCATTTAGCTGATGCTTTTATCCAAAGCGACATACAATAAGTGCATTCAAAATGGGTTCCAAACAGTAGCGTCACATATGTTTTAATGTTGAGTTTGTATTGGGGCTTTGTTTCTAATATTTGGTCCACTATTTACATCAGTCATCACTTATAAACTAATAAACAGTTATCACTATAACATAAACCTATAACATCCCCTAAAATGATTCTGCAGGTGAATTTACATGTGTAAGACAGAAGGTACACAAAATAAGCATTAATGGAGCGAACCCTGCGAACTAGTTCAGGCAGCCAACTCTGCTGTGCTGCTCCAATCATACATGCATCACACACACCTCATTCTCCATAATCATCTATTATACACACCCACCTTATTAGGCAGCCTATTTAAGCAGAGAGAAATTTCCCATCAACCCATTTGCTCGCACTGCTGCTGTAGTATTCCTACCAGTTGCTTGAGCCCCTCCACCACCCCAGCAGCCACGTGTAGCCTCTGGCAGGGGGGTTACAAGTATTTGCTCGTCACTCCCATCATATCTGTGTAATCATATTAGGGCAGTGATTGAGTCGGAAACTATCTTCTAATGCTGCAATAAACAGTGAATGTGAGTTGGCTGACTGAAATGTGTTTGTGGAGGCAGGTTTGTCTTAGGACTGTTTTAGATTAGTATTATACAGGCCAAGGTGAAGTAAACTGCACACTGAGTTGAATAATGAAACACAGGCACAACACAAACCAACCTGTGGAAACTACAGTTTTTAATGTGCACAAATAAAGTAAATTCCCATTTTTATCATTCATCAACAATTTCCTGTTCACAGTGCACACTTTAATTTTTTTCTAATTACTGCTTTGATCTGGAACATTTATTTCTCTGCAATGGGAGGATTGAACTGACTTTAATTTTTCTATTTAGTTCTGATGATGATGTGAGTTCAATTAGTCTGTTTTTCAACTTGACTCCTGACTTGACAGATGTGGTAGAGATGGAATCATGAGCTCAGACAATCGTGGGAATTTAGAATCAGTTTTGTATCAAATCAGGAAAATAACAATGCTTTTCTGTTTTTTATGACATTGTGTGACTTTAAATGTTGCTCACTGTAGTAAATACAAATTCCTGTTGGAGCTTTTTCATGGACAGTGGTACATGTGCATTTGTTTACAGGTGGACAGAAAAGGAACCAGCAACCACAGAACCCAAAGAACCACATTGACTAACTTGGTAGAGAAACGATGAAGAATTTTACATGAATATAGATAGTTTTATTTGTTGTGACACTGGAGATGAAATCTAATGTTACAAAAATATACTTATACAAAGTAATGTTGTCTAAAGAGACCAGCAGTATACTCCCCTTAGACTACTGTTTACCTGCTCCAGGAGAACAGCTGTCTGCAAATATATCTCCTTTTCCTTTGCAGTAACCATTAAATGTATTTATTTACTCTCACATCATACATACATCTGATCACTTTGTTATACATATGGGTTGAAAATGGACAATACAATGGTACATGTTAAATGTCTATGAACTGTCCAATGCAGGCCAGTGGACAGTCTACCCACTTGGAGCGTCCATGGTCTGAAATTGTGGATTTCTTGCTGATAAGGTGTAAAACATGGGCTTCAACATTACCGCCACAACTCAGGCATCACACACCTTGAAAGCCAAGTCTCCATGGCTATTCCGCTCCAGGGTCGTATAACGATCCTACTCTGCAGTTGCTCGGCACCAACGTCACAGGAGTTCCAGATCCAGAGGCTACTCCAGTATAGCCTGATGATCCGTGGGTGACAATAGCTAGCTCCACTCAGTATAATGCTCCAGTCATGATGCAATCACCCCAGAGTGGTCGTACTGCGAAGCCCAGACTCCTCCTTGCCAACAGTAGCAGTAGCAGTGGATTGTAGCCAGCAAGGAGAAGAATGGTGCAGGGCGCCTGTCTCCCCCTCATCCACATCAAGACCTTGAGCTGATTTGACATCCTGAATACTCATGATTGTCTGCCTCTGGAAGGACCCCCACTCCATCCTGTGGTCTGTCCTCTACCTCCGCTCGATTCAGGTTGTTGAAGGGGGCTGTAATCAGGTGTTGCTCCGGGGGTTTCACTGTTTTGGCCACAGCAGGGAATCCATTCCCGTGACTGAGTATTTACATCACGTGCTACCCCCCCCGCTCTTCTTCTGCTTAAACAGTCATGCTCCCCACACAGCCACTAGCTCCCCCTTGTTTATTTCCAGTACTGCTTGCAGTACACCATCACCCACAGCCTCTGACATTCCTGTCAGGATTACTCCCAGAGTGGACCTCATTTGTGATGATCGTCACTGTGTGAACCTTAACAATCTTCGCCAATGCGCCACACCCCAAAGCCAGACACCATGGACCTTACTCTCCTCATGGCTCTGATTAATGCTAGGCCTCTAGCCAACAAAACCTTTGTACTAAATTACTTTTTCACATCTTGTGAGTTCGATTTTATGCTCTTGACCAAGACCTGGCTTCATACTGTTGAGTACACAGCTTTTTATGAGCTTCTCCCTCCGGAATGGACTTTTTTCAGCTCTCCTCAGACCATTGGTAAAGGTGGAGGGGTAGCCACTGTGTTTAAATCCATCTTTCAGTGTCGACAGTCTGTAACTGTCACCTACTCTAGCTTCGAGCTTCAGCTCTTTGAGTTAAATGCCTCCTCCCCCGTGCTGTGTAGTGTACCTTTCCCCAAAATACAACAAGGATTTTATGCAAGAGTTTTACGACTTCATAGCTGGAATTTTGATGGATTATGAACACTTTTTAATTTGTGGGGATTTCAATGTACATGTATGCAGTGAAACTAAACCTATGGCTAAAGACTTTTTAAATCGCATTGTCCAGTCGGCACAAAAATTTTAACCTTAGATCAAAGTCCAAGCCTGAACAGCTCCATGTGTCAAAAGTAAGTCAGGTTCATAGCACCATCTACTGATTCGACATGAAACAGGAAGTTGTATTTAACTCCACTGTACATTGTCCAATTGGCCTCAAATTGGTCACGTTCCATCAGACCTGACCTGAACAGAACTATTAGTCTGTATGCAGTGATAGCTGTTGAGGAATTTTCGTATATCCTCACACATTACTGTATATGCCATTATATACCGTATTATGTATATATAATGTATATTGCATTATATCTGTACATCATTAAGAGAAGAGTGCCTGGCTAACTCTCTAAGCAGTACCCAAGGTCAGATTATAGATAAAGGACCAACTAACAGTGCATTGTAGTGTCTACACTTAGAGACTTTCCTATCTAACTCAGATGCCCCAGACAGAGAGGCACCAACTTCAACTCTCACAAACGTCAACTCATTGGCATATTACACCAGTATCTAATAGGATGCAAACACCTACATGTTGATGAGTGACAGCAATTCTAGCCATTTACTGATGTGCTGTTAGAATGGGTGACTCAAGTAGAGGGAGATATATGGGGATGCGGTGGGAGAAAATTTGACAATCGCTCATGTTACTCTGTTAGCGTTTGTATATTGTTGCATCTTCTGGTCTCCTTGATACATCAAGTCTACATTAAAATCTTCTGCATAAGACATCAGGTGCTGCCTGAATATGTACATATCACCACTTATGTTTAAGTCCTCAAAAAGGCAAATCACTTGCCTGAATAATAATAAATAATAATAATAAACATTACAATTTCAATAGGGCCTTCGCACTGCTACAGTAGTGGGTGCCAATTGGACAATGCATGGTTATGACAACTTCCTCTCCTTGGCAAAGGATTAACCCTCGCGGCACCTCAATGTTTACACTTTTTTTTGGAAATGTCACAATTCTCACCTGGTTCTTATTGCTTGTCTGAGCTCATTTGAGCTGTGTATTGTAAAGCAGTGAGCAGCAGTGCAGCAAAGTATAATCCATGTCAGTTCCTGTCACCAGCAGGTGGTGCTGTGATGATGAGTCAATATTGACACATGGATCTGTTCAGGGCGGGACTGTGATTGTGTGAATGGGTTTTGAGGCTGCACAGTGGAGTTATAATAAATCCCTCTTTTTTGGCAAATCATCAAACTTTGACGACACAGCACAGTCACACAGGAGAGAGGAGTCTTATTTTCATCACATGGGCAACAACATTCTCCAGCTCTGCAACGGGCCTCTCCCAGTGCTCTCTGACTTGACGATAGAGACGCTCGATCAGAGAGAATACAGTTGAAGCCACCTCATAGTATGCAAACAGTATGGCAGCCATTGGTCCCAACAGTGAAACTGTCAGCCAACTTTTTACCCTTACCCGAGTCTAAGAAGAAAGTGGCCTCCTCCACCCCTTGCAGGTTGTACCGATTCGTCACACTTCCGTTTGGGTTGTTCGGGGCCCCTGCCACTTTTCAAAGCCTCATGGACCATGTGCTGCATCCGCTCGCTGCATATGCTGCAGCCTACCTGGACGACGTCATTATTTACAGTAACACATGGGCGGAGCATGTGCAGCTGGTGGCTGCGGTGCTGGAGTCACTCAGTCACTGATGCAACCTGAGGAAGTGTGCAGTTGGAAGGAGGGAGGTATGGTATCTGGGTTACCACTTGGGTGGCGGGCAGGTGCGTCTTCAGGTGGATAAAACTGCCCACGGTCCAGGTACAGCACCGTAAAGAAAGAGTGCCTGGCAATTTGGCAGTAGTTTGCTGGGACACGTGGGCTAGAGGAGACACATGAACGAGCCTCACAGAGACACCGAAGATAACTGGCAGAGCCAGCGTGTATGTGTATTTGCCTGTAAGATGACAAGTAAAAAGCTCTAAGTCATACCTGCTATCTGGTGCATCCTGGTGAGAGAACCCCAACAGAGGATTCTGTGACATGCTCTTTTTAATTTTTCTGACCTTTCTCCATTTCACATGGCATCTATTGCAATTCTGTCCATCCTGGGGGAGGGGTCATGTGGCATGTGGCTCTCTGTGATGTTTCTATGTTCTGTTACCTGTTGAAAGGATTTCTTTGGTAGTTTTTCCTTACTCTTGTTGATAGTTAAGGAAAAAGAGGATGTCACACCTATACAAATAAAATTTGATTGATTGATTGATTGATAATCCTACGACAAAAAAAGCCTTGATACTGTCTCAGGTAAATCCGCCGTCACTGAGTAACTTTTGCTGCGAGCTGACTGGCAAATCCAATTATTTCTTTACAACACCCCAACAAGAAAAAAGAGGATGGAGAGGCTTGGTCAGTCTTTAACTATCTTTATTTTGCTCATGTTCACGTACGCACACACACGCGCACACACAAACAATTGTAGTAGGGAGGAAAGGCAGATTACTGGATACAATTTAAGGTAGGAACCATGCAGGTTACTACCCCCCTAATAAACTGTTAAAGTGTTTTCTTATTAAACCCTTAACCCTATAATTATTCTGAATGAAAATGTACTCATACACACTATAGTTGGTAAATTAAATGCATTCCTATATTTCCTTTTCTGTTCCAATTCTGTGAATGAAAACATGACAATAAAAATTACAATACAATGTTATTATGGCGGTAAAAATACGCTTAAATACATTAACAAGAGCCGGGGAGGTACAACCATTACAAGTTAATCTGTTCAATCGTGAAATAAATATGTAATGAAGAATTTCGTTTTGTACGAGAGAATATATCACAATGCAATTAAACTATTAGTTGGTCTACATTTAGGTTTCATTAATCCTGCATTTCATCAGGTTGTTTACAGTCATCATTAGACCTTATTACATATGTGGATGATGTCACATGTACATTGTGACATCGCTTTTCTCCTCACCATGCTGCAGTGAGTTAACTGCAGTTATCACATCGTCACTTTTTAGGTCTGAAATACAGAATTTTTTTCTAAAAATTCAGTACAAATGTAAAAATCAAAGATGAAATCTTGAGTCATAAGTTCATTATTCTGTCAGTATTTCAAAAAAACCAAGGCCTCTCATTATCTAACAGTATATTGGTATTGCTGACATTTTAAGAAGACCGTGTGATACTGTGTTGCTGTGGGAGGGAGAGACAGAAAATGAATACATTTAATGAGTGTGCTGGTCCAGTCTGAGGAAGTGCATTTGTCTTATTTTCATGTCCTCCATATGAGGTTTTATACAAACAGGCCTTCCACACGTATAAGGAGTCTGTCTTAGTATGTCTGCAGAGTGTAGGCCCAGTCCTGGTGTGATGGGGGGTCTGGGAGGATCCACCTCTGAGGAACCGGAGAACCATCAGGATGATCCGCTGCAACAATAAACACATCCCACTCTCTCCTAAAAAAATAAATATATATTACAGTCCAAACAAGTACTTCCTTATTTAGGTCTTCCTTTAGAGCTAGACAATCCACAGTGAGTGGGCATGTTATTTACCTTTGTAACACACTACAGATGCGAAAATGAAAAAAATACAAATATCTGAGGATACATGTAGAAGATGCAAAATGATCATTTTAAAGACAATAAGATTTGAGAACTTTAGGCGATTAGGGCCAACGCTGAAATTCTCAACCATAAAACATAAGTTAAGTCTTGTGTCCCTCCTCTCCTGATGTGTGAATATGAACAGAAAAACTGGTGGAGCTAATTCTCTAGTCACTGTCATTAAATCACTGCAGTAGAAGACGTGATTAATAGAGCTACATTCAAAGCTCAAACAAAAACCATGAGGAAATATTGTGCAAATGTAACATTTCTGTTTTGAAACTTTCAACTGCATTACACCTCTTTCTTATTAAATGATTTGTACTCAAGTTTTTGTGCGTAAGAAAATACTGATAAAAATCTGGTAGTTGAAAGTCACAACATAAAAAATGTTTACCTACATTGTGCCATTGCACCATTCTGACATTCCAGCTCCTTTGGTACCACAGAGTGAAATCACATTATATCCTATTGTAACACCAGCCCTTTGTGTTATGCTGTCTCTTTTTCCAAAGACCAACAGGCTATCCTACAAGCTCAATATAGAGGGATGATTAACAGGAGGTTTTAGGTATTTAACCTCTGTGGGTCTTTGCCTGTGTTGAGAGTCTTTATGTTTAACAAGCAGTTTGTTGTGTGAATGGCTGTAAGTTGTAGACCCACCCAGCTATTATGTCAGTCATTAGGGTCACTGGATTTGGGGTGTGACTGGGTGTCTGGGGAGAGCATTGTAGTTGGTTGAAAGCTGTGGACGGCACAGCACAGGAGAGCAACGTACCTACGCCGTAGATACGCCGTTGAGGCAGACCCCTGCGGCGTAGCCTGACACGCACCTCCAAACAATCCTAACTACGCGTCGCGTTGACGAGAACCGCAAGCGCTGTGATTTGTCCGCTCAGAACATAAGTTCCGGCAGTTGCTTTTTCCGGTCTTTCTTACTCGTTGTACAGACCACCTCCGCAAACGTCTTCTCTGTCGCCTGCGCTTCAACATTTGCAATATAAGCATTTGTTCTTCAATATTGATGAGCTCCAACTCCAAATACAGCTGCTCCACCTCGGTCGCCATTGTTTACTGTTGTTTACTTTACGRAAGAAAAAGCGAGGATTCAGCTATAACCACACAAACACACAGCCACACACCCCTAGCGGCATGGCGGTGAATTGCAGAGCAACGCGTTCCCTCGACGCAGAACTTCGAATGATCAACGACTGCGTCACGTCGACAGCGTAGGTACAGCGTCGACGTGATGCAGAAGCATAAACTAGGCTTCAAAGTCTATTCACAAGGCACTGCATTCTCTCCTGGACTGAGATGATGCGCTTTCTGGAGACAAGTTGTAGCATCTCCTACCTCAAGCCAGTTCTCCACCTTCTGGCCACACCAGTCCTGGCTGAGCTTACTGACCTAACCAGATCAATTAAAACCAAGTTCCTGGCATACCTCAATGACAAATATAGTGACCCCAACACCAGGGAGCGTTTGGAAGTTCCATCGTACATGGACCCTAGGTTCAAAACGCAGTAAATCAGCGTAGACAACATCCCTGCCATTAAGATCTGACTGAAGACAGAAATGCTAGAATCAGCAAGACCTACGTATAACAAGGTTAATAACCCTCTGGGGAAAAGGCAAAGAGGTCTCTTGGCAGCTTTCTCAAGACTAGTATGACCTCTCCTGCTTTGCCTGTGTTACTTGAAAATGTCACGGAGGCGTTTAACAGTTTAACAGTTATCTAATGACTCCTGCCATTAATGGAGATGGCCATCCCTTGGCCTGGTGGGAGGCACACAAAATCAACTTTCCATGACAGTGCAAGATGGCCTGCAAGTACCTTTGTGTACCAGCCACAAGTGCCCCCTCAGAGCGTCTGCTTAACACCGGAGTAAATATAGTTAATTGCACTCGGTCATCCTTAAAACCAGCAAATGTTGATATACCATACAGTTGGATCTTTATGGCAGTCAGGGACATACTCGTGCAATTTAGTCTGTGTGGTGTGTTACTGGTACTGACTGGTGATAATTAAGATTAA